GGGGATATACACATTTAAAGCTTTTTTCATTATAAAATCCTCAAATAAAATTCTGCAACCACACTGCATGAAACAGTTGTTCTGATGCACTCCATATACGAACACATATTAAAATATTTTAAATCTACTGTACAGTCTACATGCTTGGATAACACTCATTAACATTAATAGTAGTAACATGCATATATCCTGGGGGAGAATATACTTCTGAAATGTATGAATATCTGTAACCTCTATTTTCTTCACGACAGTCTGCTCGATTAGAGATCATTTTGATAAGCAGTTCAAAAATACAAGAGATGTCCCTCTCGTTCATTGCACAAATACCCATTTTAACTGTTTGAAGGTCCCCCAGAAAGAACTCTAGCACGTTATGGAAAATGATTCTCAATTCTTAATTCTACATCTAGCTAGCACTTGACAAGAAGTATGTACCTCCATGACATTATAACCTCAACCTTTTCCACTGAATGCAAGGTCAGCTAAAATTACTGACACACCAGAAAATGACTGTATTTTTTTTACTGAACTGGTTATACTGTTCCAGCACAGAGCATATTTAAACTTTTCGTATATACACATATATGCACATGCGTACACTTTTTCACCCAGTAATATAAAAGCATATAGCATCAGCATAATTTACATATAGTCAAGGTCTTTTCCTTTTCTGAACTACCAATGACATTGAATGAAGAAAATGATGACTGGATAATGTATAAAAAAAACCTACATTTTAATACCATTATAATCAAAGGGAACAGACATTATATAATCAAAATTTTGGTTTCTTTTATGTGTATCTCTACACATATGCACACACACGACACCAAAATCTTTTTGATTACACACACACAAATATATACGTATGTGTAGATGCACACATATATATGTGTGTGATTGTGTATATATACACATGCGCACAAATTGCCAGCAGAAACAAAGAACATGGTATGTCAGTGCATTACCTTACTTCGATTAAGGCAGTTTGTTTTTACAATTTACAATTTCAGAAAATGTAATTCTTTGATTATTTTGATATCAAATTCTTTGTGCTGACATCAATCTCATGATAGCTTGAGCATCTATAACTTAGTAATCAAAACAGCGTTTTCACAAGGATATTCTTTTAGTGCTCTATTGGGAAAAACAAGGTAAGTGCATTTTGTGACTATTTAAAATGATATACAGAATATGTTCCCTTATAGGCAACAGGAAAGAAAAAGCGGGGGGAGGAGGGAGGACCCTCTGCAAGATCAAAGTCCAAAAAGAACTGGCACTTAATTTATCATCCTTTACAGACAAAAGACAGTTTTCGTCATTTCAAAAGGATCAGATGTCTTTTATGACAAACTGGGTTTGCAGTTTAATTTACAAATAGAATTCTAAGCAAGCAGTCTTTGCTCTGCCAAAGCAAATGACAAACACTATAGGTTTTCATTCACGCAACCCTCAGCAGGATAGAAGAGATTAAAATAAAAGTGAAATAATTTAGAGAAAACAAATAAATGTTTCAGAAAGTTGAAGAAGATCAAAGCCTGAATTTTCTGACCCCAACTGTACAAGCATTTCTTATTATATTGACCAGTGCCATCAGATCATTAATTAAAAGGAAAGCGCTGGCAGGTGGCAGGGAAGCAGAAGCCGATAATTGGCCCCCTTCTTCTTTTTGCCTTCAAAAATTCTCTCGTTCTTTTGCAAGACATGCCACTAGGCAGACAGAAATGCCTACTTTGTAATATAATGATTAAGATGAGATGAAGAGACTCTTGCGTTTAAAGCAGCTATGCCTAATGAATGCAGCTGGCTTTATAATTATGATCCTACTTTTACAATAAAGGAATATGATGTTCCATTCAACATCTCTTCAGCTGTCAAAAAGGTAAAAATCTCAAATATGGGGGTCTACGATCGGTGCTTTTCTTTCCCCTTATTCCTTTTACTGCAGTTAGCAAAACCAGGCAAAAATAACTACTAATAATTCAAGCAAATAGATAAGAAAGAAAACCCATGAAATATCCGTAGGACTCACCACTTCACTAGGTAGGTTGTTCAGGTCATTAAAAGGGGTTTCTAGAGCGTTTGTGTCAACATTTAGCAAAACCACATCTTCCAGTGATCTATTTTTTACTCTCTGTTGAAGAAAAAAACAATAGTGTAAAAGCATTTTATGGGGGTGCCCTCCCCCATACCTTTTTATTACAATGTGGTAGATGAGAAATTATGATTTTTATAGAGGATAAAGACAATATCTTTGTGCCTTAGATGTAGGATTTGTGGATTAACTACAAGATTCAAAGAAGCTTTTAAAAAACCTTCCTCCTCAGCAAACAGTGTTTAATCTGTAACCTCTAAAATACAACAGCAGTCAAGGAACGTACTCCTGAAATCCATGAATTACATAAAAGACTTAAAATTACTATAATTATAGATTTCTTATGACAATGTTTCATTCCCTTATATCTGGGAAAATCAGATATGATATTAATCATACAATCAAAAAAAAAATCACAGCAAACCAAGTAGGATTTGCAGATTTATGTATGTTCCAGGTACACGATGTCTAGTAAGTATTACAGAAGAACAGATGAAAGAGTCTTTCATGAATGTAGTTGACTAGCAGATAAGAATTAAATAATTTGCTCCTTTCAGGAAAAATGACAGAACTCTTTTCTAAGTGATCCTGAAATAATGGATGAGATTACGGTCCAGGAAATAATTCCAGAAGGAATTCAGACACTTCATTTTTAGACTAAGCCTGTTTCCTCAATTTCTGATGGAATAAGGAAAAAGATCCAAGTCAAGATATTAAGATCAATGTGTGCAGATCATAAGAACTTGCCTTGAGAGAATAGAAAGCTCTGCCTGGAATTCAGAAGTACGGATAACAGAAGGTTCTTTTTTGGAAACAGAAAAGTGCTAGTGGCCCAGAATGGGGAGCACCTACCTCATCAGCTCAGCAGAAAGAGCTTTCATCACCCTCGGAAATCACTTCCACAAAAATTCAAACCAAATCAAGCTCCTGAATCAATTATCTATCTTGCATGATAATCAGACTACACGCACAGGGCCAGTTACTTTTTTTAAACATTTATAGGAAGATACAAAGCAATTTCTTGTGCCTTAGCTACTTAATACTACTCAGGTGAAATTTTATTGTTTTATTGTATTTTTAAACCTGAAAAGCCACCCCTTGATTTCTGTCAAAAAAAAAATATATATTTTTATGTCTGTTATCACAAGCTGAGTGTAAGACACCGATTTGCAAAGGGACCAGAACACAAATTAGTTGGGAAATTGGAATGACGTTGACTTTTAAGTGAGGGGTATTGCAAAAGAGTTTTAATTATTCTTGTTACCAGGTAAATCTGCATTATTTTTCAGCCATCTAAGTAACACAGAAGCACCTCAGGGGCAGGAAATAGAATCAGAAACGAATCATCATTTAAGCCTTGCTTGTCAGTATAAAATGCTTCAAAAGTAAGATCTCAGAGAGAGACATTTTTACTCAGTAAAGCTTCTGAAGCTTAAATAATTCTGATAAGTAAATATGATGGATTCTTCCATTAAAAATATTATTTATGGTACACATTTCTCATGCTTATCAATACTCAGGCATACTGCAAACAAAGAAACCTACTCACCTCTATTAAGCTTAAGTGGACGCCAATTAGATACGGCATTGGTGCACTGAAGAAGAAAAAGAGAAGATCAATTATTTCGTGAAATAACTATAAAAATGTTTGTACAACAAAAAATAGATATTTAAAAACTCTGTGCATCTTTTAACCTCTACTTAACTTACATTGTTCAAGTATATATTAAATGCATACACATAGATGATCTTGAAATTATTAGTCAGAAAAGAATTATTAATTTTTTACTCTATGTCAAAGAAGACTACAAAATATGGGAGACTCTTCCTAAGCTCAGTGAGCAGCAAGTTGGGTAAGGCTGGCTAGGCAGCCTGCCTGCAAGCCTAACTCGAAATGGATATTCCAGAAGTTGCCTGTTTCTAGAACCGCGAGGGATTTCCAACACTGATCCAGGGGTATCCTGAGCTCCTCAGCTACGTGACCAGGCCGCGATGCCAACGCCAGGGGCAGGACCCAACCCGCTGCCCCAGGGAGCACTTGGCAGCCACCCAAGGTCCTGCCCCGCTGGAGGCTGCACACTTGCGATGCAGGACAAGGAAACGACTGCTGCAGATACCCACCTGGGGCTTCTTGGATGGCACCCCTTGCAGCACATACAAACTCAATCAGTCAAGCTAATTTTTTTTTATATATATATAATCTTCTGTTTCCTCCCCCAGTGAAGGTGTTCTGGCAATATTTGACTAAGAAACTTGCTATCACACTGCAAGCTGCATACATATTTGGATACATCAATGTTTCATACTGACAGACTGAGATAAAGCAGTGCCAGCACGGGGAAGTAAAAGAAACCTTTGAAATTTTAAATGTACATAATGCGATAGATGAATTAATACCAATCTGCCTCTGCATTATGGAGGCGGGGGACACAGAAAAAAAAGAAATATCACGACACAACGGGACAAGAGTCACACTCGTGTTAACGGAACATTAATTTTACAGCAGCACACAAATTGTCTGCAGTTACTGAGAGGAAATAACTGAATTGTGTCAAGAATCACACCTTACAGATGGAAATTCACCTTTCTGTACACATCATGGCTCTTCACATACAATTCCAAAATTTGCTGTCTAACACTTCTTGGTGGCTAGGAACTGTGAGATCACCAGTATTCCCTCCAGTGAAGTCAGCTAAGGACAGGCTTGTGTAAGCAACTCCGCTGGAAATGAGATACTAAGGGAGCATCCAGAAAATCTAAATAAAATTAGCCACTAAAAAAGGTAAGATTTATAGTATTATACATTTTACATTTTTATGTAAAGTTACACAGATCTGCTGATGTACAATAACTTCTTACATTGTACTAATTTGCTCTTGTATCTGATGTTCACTGAGATACCGCCTGATTAAAAGACTCACTTTCTGTGGCCTAGAAGGAGGCTTTGCTGGATCAGTTCATGTGATCTCATCAATTTGGATCCAGATTTGGAGCAAAAGTAGCAATTCTCACCTGCCCATGACTGGAGTCACTTTTAGAAAAATCTGTATGCACTATGGATTATCCAACTGCTCTCATTAACAGTGTCCCTTGGGAAAATATTGATGTAAGGAAACTCAGACTGACTGAAAACAAGTTTTCATTATGTTTGTGCTATCAAAAAAACACAAAGGGTTCGTGAGACTGGATGGTTCTTTCTGCAAAAATCCTGGCTTGGGGTTTCCTTCCAAGAAAGGGACATGAAGACCCCATGTGCTCACGATCTGTTTCCTAACCCAGTACTATAACACTTAGTACCTCCCAAGCACTTTATCCAGGCTGGGGCCTTATATATTTGTGGGTTAAATATAATAAGTCATTAGAAAACATGCATTTTAAGCGAACTCTCTAATTGCGTTGGAGGAAATCTTAAAATTTCTGGAAAATTCATGAAATAAAAACTGCAGGTATGGGAACATTTTCAGCACAGAATGGATTTTTTTACCACTGGGTTATAAAGCCCTAACGGCCGAGGTTTGTAATATGTACATGAAATTGCTCACTACAATACTACTGGGAGCTGCTATGCAGTTTTTATCTTGCTTATGCATGTTGCAACTAAAAGTGTTATTAATCCACAGCATCATTTCCTCAAATAAGTACTATGTTATGCAAAACATGCAAGTTAATTGGAGAATAACTGACCCATTCTCATGAAAACAGGCTTGCGTATATTCAAATTCAAGAGAGACCAAATTTCATAAAAAGATACATTGAAACCCTATCTTGAATTTTCTAATTGCATTACACTCTTAACAGAGCTTCAGTAGAACAGATGCTTTATCATCCACAGACAAAACTGTCATACGTTTTTGTGACTTAGTTTGCCAAGAAATTATACAGAAGATTCAAAGTAACTACCTCTCTTCTTTACAAAAAATAATTTTATTACTCTATCAATGCCCAAACTTCATTTTTGTAAAAGGTATTTTTGAAGCCAAGACACTCTCTGGGCTGAGATATCTTTTTATCTCGTGAAATGTAACGGAGAAAATGATTGTGTAAAGAAAAAAATTCAGAAAAATCTTTCTTTACGTTCTCAGGAATATGATCTGGGAAGCATATGTTATTTCTGTCTATTTTCCTCTTTTAGAGGTAAAACAAATAATTACTTTCTCTGGCTAACATTTTACTGTCTTTAGAAAAAGTAATTGATCATAACTCTTTTTTCTTATGGCTGTTCCAAGTCTCATTTCCCTGTGCGAATTCAAGACCTAAACTAAGCTATGTGTAAGCTCTGTAACTAAAACAGAGCAGGGACTTCGTGTACAGCTGTACGTGACCTGCCCGGACAGCATTACAGCCCACACCGACGCTCCAAATCGGTGCCTCTGCACTACCTGAGCAACACCTGACCTCACCTGTAACCAACCTGAATATCAGATTGCCTGATGGAATCACACGAGACTTGCTGATTAAAAAGGTAAATTGCACAGTCAGTATTGAAATGCATTTTATCTTTATTTATATTTGTTATGTTTCGAAGCAGCTGGACTGCCTCGGATTAAACAGAATTAGTAAACTGACAATCCCTACTCTCTTTATGTAGGCAGCATTTCAGAAGTATGCAAGTAAGATAATGAGAGTACATAGGAGATACCACAACAAAGTCAAGTGAAAAGATAAAAAAAAAAGTTCTGGAGTACAAGTATGTATGCCCCGAAAATATCAAAAACGAAAAGATAACTGAACACTAGGCTGGTCTGACATAAACTTTGGTCCTAAAAGTATATCGAGGTTTTCTAACTTAATATATTATAGTCTTAAGAAGCAAAATAAATAAAATGCCTGATTTATAGTCACTGTGAGAACTCCATCAACAGCACATTTCCCTTCATGAATTTTATGTTTTCATTTGAAAAAAAAAAAAAAAGAGAAATATTTTTTCTCTTCCATTGTACTAGAGTAAAAAAGAAAAGGGTGATAAATGAGTTTTACAAGTCCAAAAAAACTCCATGCTTCCTTTTAATGAGTAAAAAAAAAAAAAATTCAGGTCATGACATAATGACCCAGAATCTCCACTCTTATCATCATCATAAGAAACTGTGTACAGCATCTAACATTATTATTTCTGGAGACATTATCTGTGCTTAGGAGGAGAAATAAAAAGTCCTCTAGTATTCAGGACACACTCTGCAGGGAAAAGCTTTAAAAAAGGGGTTGATCTACCTTCTTTTTGATAATAGCAATTCTGGACAGTACTGAAGAAAATACAAAGCTTCTGATAAGTTCAACTATGATAAAAACGAAACAAATGCATCCAAGCTATACTCCCGTCTTGGTGCACTTTTCTCAAAACAAGGAAAGAAAACAATTAAGACAGCATTTCTCCAAAAGAAAAATGTCATTAAAGATGAAAGACTTAGCCACAGTTGAAAGACAAGACTAGAGGGAGAATATTTGATTTATTTTTAAAAACAATAAATAATTTACATATGAAGTAAAGGAGCTACCAAAGTGGGGAAAAGAAAAATTTATCACGGGCAAATATTGTAAACTTGATGAAAAGCTATCAAAGCAACTTAAAGAAATATAACAAGAACTTCTTTGAAAACAGGAAAAGTTAAATGGACTGGGTGGAGTTAAATGGAACATTAATATTTATAGGTTCAAGAAAAATAACAAAGCCAAACAAGCATACCAACGTAATTTCTGTGGAGAAAAATATTCGTAACAGAAAAATACTTATGTTGTTAGGTATCAGATTTTGTACACTTTAATTCTTGATCTGTAAAAATGGCTTTAAATGTTTTCAAATTGTTTTGGTTTTCTGTTATAAACCCATGCATATTTAAAATGAAAGCCTCCAGGGATGGATGTTTCTGTATTACATGCTTTAATGCAATACTCATTTGGTAACTCTGGAACTAGTACAAATAGAGAGAAGTAAATCCTTTCTTAGGCTGAAATCTTAAAAACTGGGCATTTGGAAGAGAAAATTAGATCATCTAACTATGCCATTGTTGTAAATAGCAACCATCGCAAAAGCAATCCCTTGAAGGAGCAGAAATACCCAGAGAAGTGACCATTTCTTTTTGAATTCAAAAGTCTGCCAAAAATATGAAATCTGTTTTGTGAATAGAATTTTCAACAGGAGTATATGCAAGCAAAGAATTTCTTATGACAGTAAATGTGGAGATAATAATCTCTTTTAGGAAAGAGTTGGATACAGTCCAGACCTGGCTGGGCTTCATAACACACAAAAAAAAATAGAAATATTAAATCATTCTATAGAACTAGGAGAAACGCAGATGCCTCCTAGTATTTGATTCCACTGACATTGGTAATTTTTAATATTTCTTTCGATATGTTTTACCTAATATTAAACATCAAATAAATGAAAACTATTAACGACAGTTATATTTAAATCACTGAATGTATTCTTCTTTACAATAGCTGCTCATGTTTTACTATTAGAGATTCCAAATGCTACCGTGTACCTCAAGGTCCCCACTCAAAACCTCATCAGGCAATCCTTTAAGCCCTGGCTAAAATAAGTGCTTTCATAAACCAGATCCTGTATATTTAATCGTATGAACAGCCACGGTTTTCATGAGTTAATTCACATTACAAAGGATGTAAAACTCTCAGAAAGGAGGATGCCAGGCTAGGTGTCTTACCAGCAGTAGTCCAGGAGATGGGCAGGAAGCACTGGGATGTAAATGTGCTGCCAATACATCGGATACAACAACGCAGCTGACGCATGAACGCAAGCAGTTAACTGAAAACAAAAACATAAAGAGATTAGGCAAATAAGCATGAACATTAAGAAGAAAATGCAACATTATAAACTAATTTTGAGATGTTCAAGAATCTTAACTCTCACAAACCTTCTACTACAGCTTTTTAAAAATTATTTTAATTGTTTAGGTGCACTTATCAAGAACTCTGAGATACGCACACAAATATCACATTTATAAAACGCAAGCTAGTAAGTAAAATGAACTTGTAGCACTAAATTCCAGATCACGATTAACTCTGATTTCTGCCACTATTCTTATTTTGAAACTATATATATGTGTGTATGTATATATATGTATACATATATGTATGTATATACATATACACACACACAGGTATACACACATATATAAAATAATTTAAAGCACATTTTTCCTGTGACAGCAGACTAACTTTATTTTCCCCAAACCTCTCCCCCAAAAGAGAAACTGTAAAGTCTGGCACCAAAAAGCAGCTGCTTCACTGAGCAGGACACAGAGGTGTTACAGCCTGTTACCATTCAGCAAGGAAACGGTTAGTAACTAGATCTAAAGCACTTCTCCAGTGAACAAAATAATTTGAAATACATGACGAAGAGCTTGAATTTGACATGGCAAATACTTTGTTGCTATCAGGGGGTCTATATTCAGCAAATAAACCAATACAAATCTCTCAGATATATGGTAGGAAGAACTTTGCTCAGAAGAGAATTTAGGAGCCGCAGTCACGGGACCTCGCGCAATTTCCCCGGGACACAGAGGTCATGCCCAGAGAGCCACTTGGAGGAATAACTGTCCTGTCCTGCCCTGGTGCCGTATTCCTGCCGGCTCCCCTAACGAACGCCGGGAATACCTGTAGCAAACAAAGGCAGCGCTCCATGCAGAAGACGCCGGGCTCGCGCAAGAAGACAAAAGACCCTCTAATGTTTTAATACCACGACGTTATTGCTGTGCTATTGAGGTTAACAGTTACTGCTGTTCTCCATTAGACGTGTACTTGTACTGAACCAAAACTATGAGCTAAAACAAAACGTAAATCCTGGCTATACAGCAAGTGCTAGAATTCTACGGATTTTACAGAAAACCACCTTTTTGTACAACAGATCAGCAGTTAAAGCTTTAACGCTGTGGCTACCCTGGACAGTTATACTGCTATATAAAAATTATACACTAATTTTGTGAATTGTTGTTGTTGTTCTTTTTACTAAAAATAAAAAAAATAGCTATAACAGCATCGCAGCAGAAATCACGGACAATTACAATTTGCGCAGCAGAGTTTGCTCATCACTCAGATTAATATACTACGATTAAATATGGAAAAGAAGAGGGTCTGAAAGCTCCTGAGGGATATCATTAGGGCAAATTGCCAAAGAATGAAACATGAGCCAGTCAGGAGAGTCTGGAAGCTGCACTAATACCAAGGGACTTGAGTGTTCGACAGTTGGAGCTTCAGTAATGTGTGAACTGCAGGTTAAGGTATCAAGAGACTCTGTTCACTGACACAGAGAATGTCACTATTGACCAACAAACCGCCCAAGCTTGACAGTTATACTACAGAAAGCCAAGTATATCATAATTCCATATTTAAACTGTTCATTTCAGATTTCATTTCTTAGCTTTATGTCAAACATCTGCAATTCATCCCGTTTTAGATTTATAGCAATGGTTATTTTAATGCTTACTGTTTTGTTACTAAGAATTAATTGATTTGCAGTAAGAAATAAGTGAGTATCTTTCTCCTCTCTGGCACGGGACTGCTATGAGATTTATTTCTGCGTTATCACCCTCTATAGTTGAAATAATACTATCTATTACTGATGCATTCAAGCTCATTATTATTTTTGGAGGTCCTACATTCAAAATAGAAACAAAATTACCAGTTAAAATGTTCACATGCTATTATATGCAGCATGAAAAATTTAAACCGCAACTAGCTATGTATTTCAATCACATACTGAAATGAAGCAGAGTGCATAGAGTATCCTAGAAACATACACGCCATCCTCCTCCTCTTAATTGACATTTTTAAATCATGGATTAACATAGCGATGCTATATCCTTAAAGAAATATTTTCCTTTCTTATGCAGATACAAAGTCGCATTATATTTTAGTTCAAAATCCAAGAAAGTAAACACCAGTAAAAAAAATTTAAGGGTTTAAAAACTCTCTTGATTTAGAATCTCTATATTGGTGTGACACTCAAAAGACTAACATTTAAAACTTTTAATAAAAAAATCTACTAAATTTTAACATTTCTAGCAGCAAATGCAAGGATTTGCTTAGCTAGTTATCATTTTGCTGTGTTCTTCCTTGCTTTTCAGTTTGGTAGCATGCAACACCTACTGTATGCTACTGCACTAGGTTTCTAGATATGGCTTGAAAATGCCTTATTATTTCCTGTTGTATACAGTCTGTAATGCAAGCAGCTATGGCAGGCTAATACTGTTCAAACTAAGTTTTCAGTATTGTGTCAATCGTTTCCAAGTAAATGATACAATGATTATGGATTTCATATTATCGAATTTGTGCTTTTTCTAGCCATTGTATTTTCCACTTTTTTAGTATTTCAAAAGTGACTGCATTCCTCAAAAGCATTAATTATTTCAGTAGCTTACCTCTTTAACTGACATATTCACTTTTCTAAACAGAAAGAAATGGGGAATTCTGCAAATTTTGGAATAATACTCCAAGTCCTAAAGAATCAGATAATTTAAAAAAAAAATGAGAAGCATTCAGGGATAAGCTTGTGTCTGACTATTTAAATTGGACAACAGAGGTTTACGTATTCCACCACTGGGATGTCTGATGGCATCTGCAGTCTGAAGGAGCAGCAGCTACAGCCAGATCCGGCTCCCTGCAAAACGCTGGAGCCGGGAAGCAGCCCACGCTGCAAAGCTGGGAACAGAACGGCTGCTGCTTGACCAAGTGCTGAGAGCTGGCTCGTGAGACCTGCCCGGAGAAGAGTCCTTAGGGTTAGACAGCAAAAGATGCACTGATTCAGAGCCTCTCTGCCCGCTAACATCTATCTAAATAGAAAGATGTAGATATTAATTTCAAGTTTCCAAGAAGAGAAGTGTCATGTGCAGAAAAATTTCTTTTCTGAGACAGGTAGTCATTATACTAGGTTATCCTGAAGTCATCTTCAAGGCTGCTTAAAACCTCACCAGTTGTACCAGATACTGCTGGGGATTTCATCAACTCTGAATTGTGATCCCTTTCTCTACTCATCTTGCACGGCCACTCACATAAATTGGAGTACGTTAAAAATTCACAAATTATGGTAAAATAGTATTATGGAACCTAATTGGTTATTGCAAATTTGATAGCTTGTTACATGCTTTCTTGCAGCAAATGATCCTGCTTTAACAGTACATGGCAAACACACGCCAGTGCTGTGTTCTCCTACATAAGGAAATGGGCTGGCATTTTTTTTAAAAAAAGAATTTTTGTCTGTTGAAATCCTTGTTTTTCACTATCAAACAATAGGGGTTATTAGTTAGTTAAAAAACTGATTTTCAAAAAATTACTCTTTATCTTCACTTTCCAATAATTTATTCCAGTTTAAGCAATTTTTCATTTCAAAAATAAATCTAACTGTGGCTTTAAAAATTGGTTGAAATACTTTATATATATATAATATATATGCCTATGTATATTATATAAACAAATAAGTAACCTAGTTTAAAAATATTTAATAAAAACTTTAGTGTTCAGCCTATTTTTTAACTAGTATACAATCTTAATTTGAAATTCCTAGTGATTTCACAGGACATGAGAAAGAGTTTGCTGTCCCATTCTAACTATCAGCTAATTAATTTATTACATTATTGTGTACAACAGAAAATTTCTGTCTGTTTCTGATCTCTTTTGATAATACACTCTGGTCAGCACCACCATATAAACTTCCATCAATCTGCAAGGAAAGCATAAGCTATTTTCTCCAGACTTCTGCAGTGATTCTGGTACAGTAATTCTATCTTTTCCCCCTGGAAAAACACGCGAGAACTCTGTGCTTACTGGTAATACCAGGCTACAATAAAAAGTCTCTCCAAATAGTGGAAAACAGCACTTTGAATAGTTTTTTTAAAGCAAAATTCACTATTAAGGGATAGTAAAAGATTACTACCAAATGCCAGCATGACTGCAATAGTCTAAGAATCCTAGAGCAAGTGAGGAGCTGCTTTCCACCTTCCTGCAACAAAGAGAAGAGCAGGATGTTCAAAACCTACAACTGGCGAATAAGAATCACTAGGAAAAGTTTCAGTTCAAGGCTCAAGCAAAGGTTTGCTTGTTCCTAGGAACATGAAGAATGCAGCTCCCCCCTCTCTCTCACGTGGATGCAATTATTCTGATATGTGTATCTGCTATTCCAATACTCAGCTCTATCAATGAGGCTTTTTACTGGGGACTTTCAAAATGACTTGCTTCATGACACCCTCTTATTTCTGCTCAAATACTCCAACTTGCCTAGACCCACACGACTTTGTTTGAAAGATTTTCTGCAGATTAACACACTGTGCTTACTTGATACCTGTCTGCAAATTTATATTATCTGAAGGAGTAAAGTGAAAACAATTATTCTGTATCTTACACAAAGCTATTCTTTCTCATCTAGCAGTTATTTGCTATCAGTATAAATTACCTTCTTCAAAGCACTTTCTATAACTCAAGGTAAAGAGAGAAGCAGTGTATAGATGACAAGATTTACTCATACCACAACACGAAAATTGGAAATGCATAAACTGATTAGCAGAATCTTGTCAGAGAGCCAAAAGCAGAAAGAGAAGTTAGATAAAATGCTAAAGTAACCCATGGTTCGGTACAACCTTTTAAAATCAACTATAAGAAATTAAAGTACTAAGGTGACAAAACCATTCCCTAACAAATCCTCAAACCCTGTCAATCTGTCAACACCACATCGAGAGACGGGTACTGGTTTGCTCTTTTCCTCCTTCCTCGCAGCCCCATTGGGCTAAAGATTTGCTTCCCTCCCACTGTCTT